AGGGTTAGAGACCCCTGTACTACTGGACTGGGGCCTCAGGACCAGGGTTAGAGACCCCTGTACTAACTGGACTGGGGCTCTCCAGGACCAAGATTGAAGGCCTCTGCTATAAAGTAAGTGAATGCCTATTTACCTGTTTTAAATCCTTCAGGAGCCTGCACGTTACATGGGAGATCTCAATACTGGACAAGAGAGGACGAGAGACCACTTTTGAGCAGTCCTACGCCTGCTTTTTTGAGTCCTCTGTTGCTGTGTGTTGGAGAAGCACGTGCTGGCCGTTTCTCAAGAATGTCTCCACGCTGCAGCTGCACGGAGTTGCACGCGATGGGCCTGTGAGCAGGAGGTGAGGCATGTCTCCCCCTCAGTGCACAACATTACACCACCTTCATTAATCTGGATGTGAGGTCGGCTCCCATCCTGAATAGCACTCTGTCACCCTGACCTTCATTCTTAATGACTTCACAGGCAGAGGACGCCTGGCTGCCTGGTGGCATTTTTCTTCATTCACTGCAGCACTGTCTCACTCTTCTAAATTCTTCCTGCTCTTTAAGTCAAACTGGTGGGGTAGAGCTCTCATTTCGGAGCTAACAAGGATTCATGGAGGCCCATGTCTACGCGTGCTGTTCGAGCTTTAGAGGTTCCATTTGGAAATGATTCGAAAGGTGGCGATTGCCAGAATGAAGTCTCATCTGCCTGCAGTGTCCAGTAAGGCCAGATAATACAGACATTTGAAGGGTATTAAACGTTATCAACTCTTGACTTTCTGTCTATGCAGGGCTATAATTATTTGCCTATCTATTTGCCCATTATTATCTTCTAACCTGCCATACACAGAAAGCAGTTTGTTGTCTATATTACCAGTTACAAAAAGATAAAACTGATATTCAACACAAGAAAGGAGGCTATTCGGCTCATCAACATCATCTGGTAATTAGTAAGTAATTGACCTGAGGGTCTTATCCAGTTGCTTCCTGCAAGAAGCCAGGGTGTCAGTTTCAACAGCACTGCTTGTTAGTTTGTTTCATTCTCCCACAACACTTTCTGTAAACATGTGCCTCCCCCATACAAGATCTTCAAGGACATTCAAGATCATCACAGACATTGGCAGATTAAACAATGTAACACGAACCAGTAGTGGGAGCTAGATTTACTGAGAACCAGGAGGGACTTCTGTACACCAAGGGCTGTGGGAGTATGGAACAAGCTGCCTAGACATGTTGTTAAAGCTGCTACTCTGGCTTCTTTCAACTAATAGCTGGATGAGGTTCTTGGATCAATTAACTACTAACTACCGAACAGGCCAGATGGACTGAATGGCCCCTCTTGTTTAGAACCCTTCTTGTGTTCTTGGCTTTTTTTAAACACGTCCCCTACAGCAGGGTGATGGTGTCTTGTCTCACACAGCTGCAGAATACACTACAGGATTCACAAGACCTGGATCATGAGATTTGAGTAGGAACAATAGTTGAGTGTTCTATAATAATATTCCTTTTGTCTTCACTTTGTCTGTCCGAAGATCTCTGGTTGCAAAATATGACCTGGATGGCGTTCGAGGAAAATTCATCGGCTCTGATAAGCTTGTCAATATGCTGCATATTCCTCCGGGGCTCATTGTTGGAGTCTGGCGGGTATGTTTTCATTGTTTTATCTTAATCTTGCATTTTTATTCTGATTTGTTTTCTACCTTTAGTTGATGTCTCCATTTCAAAAAGCCTTGTGCTGTGTGTAGTGGGGACTTGTAGTTTGGTACAGCCTACAGGGCCCGTATAGCCAGGCATGTCTGCTGAACCCCACTACATCTCGAATAGTAATCAATGAATCGTGCCTTTAATATTGACACTCAGATTTTCAGAATTGTTCAATGTAATTCGATGCTTAGAAGGACCATTTTGCTGACTGGTAGTTCTCTATATCAGGTATGTGGCCCTTCAGAAGTATTGATAATGATAGTAAATAGTAATAATGACCACAGAGAGTCAGGACCTCAGTTTTATGTCTCAACCAAAGGACGGTGCATTTTTTAGGACCCACACAGACTGCAGGGTGAGAGCGCCCCCTACTGGCCCCACTAACACCTCTTCCAGCAGCAGCCTTAGCTTTCCCAGGAGGTCTCCCATCCAGGTACTGGCCAGGCTCACACCTGCTGACCTCCAGTGGGTTGCCAGCTGGGAGCTGCAGGGTGATATAGCTGCTGGCAAGTAGACGTATTGGAACAGTAAAGTCAGAAAGAATTTTCTCCACCAAAATACAGCAGACACACCGAACAGAAGATGTTGGAAAAGCATGGGGTATGAGATTGAGAATGAGGTAGAAATGGAGGAAATTACATATTTAGTCAGGATTTATCCCTGTAGTTAGTCTAGCCATTTTGTAACATTTACTTTTAGATGTCTTTGCTTGTTGATTTTGTTCTCATGGTTTTATGGGAGGTGATGATGAAGGTTCGGGGAAAAAGAGTACCCCCTGGTCCTTTGCACAGGGGTTCCCAATCCTGACAAGCCCCAGTCCAGTCAGTCTTGAAGATCCCGTGCTCCTGGCCCAAGGCAGTCCCAGTCAATTTGATTCATGAGAGCTCGACCGAAAGGGTCTATAAGACTGACTGGATGGGAGCCGGTCTGGACCTGGATTGGTCCTGCTGTTCTTCTGATGGAGGTGAGTGTGGTCAAGTAAGAATCAGGTAAGCTGTTTGAAAAATCTGCATCCGACTGCCATCAAGTCTGCATTTTGATGTCCTTGACAGCAAATAGACAGAGAATCAGTTCAGGACCAGCAGTGGTAGAGAGATGGGAAGTGATGAGGTTTGATTGTCTTTTTTCTTGTGCAGGGGCAGATGTCAATAGCCTTCTTCATGGTAACCCTTCACTTTCACAAGTTAGTGGAAAGAAGCATCCTGGGAACCTCTGTATGGTAAAGATTCTCTTTACTCTGTTTCCTTTTTAAAAACGTAGCTGGGTTCTGTGGAACTGAAGTGCTGTTGTGAAATGGCACCAATACCAAGCAGATTATCATCAGGAAATAAAGACAACTTTATTTAGGTGTAAACTTAATAGAGTCCATTGTCTATTGTATTAAATTCTTAAAGCTGATGTTACAACGAACCATGATTAAATAATATGCAGTAATGTGATCAGGTAAAACGAGTAACTGTCGTTGTACTCATAGCTCAAGAATTCACAGTAAAAGCACTTATGATTCGTCTGTAGTAGATCATAGGTAGTCAGGGAAAAGTGGAACAATTCAAAAACAGGATTTGCACTGAAGGTTGAAAATGCTCCTTTTGCAAAAACAATTGAGCTGTTGGGATACTAGCTCAGAGAAATGGAAGAGGATGCGTCGACGGGACCTGCTCTCTTAACATACAAGGGTGATTGGAGACTTCAGTAAGCTGCCCAGCCATGTTGCTGAAGCCAAACAACTGGGCGAGATCCTCCAGTCAGCACAAGAGTCACTTTTCTACACTCTTTTCTGTGGGAGTGTGGAACAAGCTGCCCAGCCATGTCGTTGAAGCCGATACCATGGCTATTTTCAAGACATGACAGGATAAGACCCTCAGATGAGCCGTTAATTACCAAACAACCCAGGTGGCTGTTCTCCTGTATTGACTGTGACTGCTCTTATGTTCCAATGCAGTGGAACTGTCTAGTTTTCTTAGAGCGCTGCTGTGGCCTCCACAACCGCGAGTAGTGTCTGCCTGTGTGTTTCTTCAGTCTGACCTTGTCTGGAGGCTTTTAGTGTGCCTACATCTCCCTTCAGGCCTGATACATTTTATTTTGGGCCTATAAGAATGTTATTTAATTCTGGAGCCTGTATGTTTTTTCCTGCAAGGCAGTGCTATATACAGTATGTTCTCCTGAAGCCAGGAGAAAGTGTCTGATTTGGGAGTAAATCCTGGGCTGTTCATTCACTCTGCACCACACCATAACAAAAATACAATTTTTTTTAAATTTTTTTATGTTTCATTTGGCATGATTTTTTTTTCCAGTGCCCTAATATTAGGGCAACATTTAATGTTGTCAGATCCATCCCAATGCTTTTGTGTCTCTCGATACAGCCCCTACACAGCACCAGTAGAGAGGTGTCCTTTTGATGATGTTGACCCCAACTATGGTCTCCATGGTTACACACTGCACATCTCACTTCACAGCAGTGTAAAGCAAATGATGTCTGGGCATTTCACCCATTTGTTCTGCAGGAAAGGTAAAGTTTTTGTTTTGTAGGTAAATGTTAAAACTTTAAACATTTTTAAGGAAGCATCTTCTGTACACAATTTATAATCAGGTGTATATCAGGTTTAGTTCACAAGAACTAACTGATATAATTTAACTTTCTGATCATTTAGTTTAAAAGGAAAGGAAACTTATTCCTGGGATGTGTTTTTATTTTCATCTTAAGGAACCTGTTCCTTAGTGCTTTGTTTTACTTGGTTTCATTTTTATTTCATTTCTGTCAGTGCAAGAATAAACATGATTTAGCTGTAGAACCTCTCTAGCATTATTTGCTTTCTCATATGAAATTTCGAATCTGTACTACTTTTTTACAGATTGTTTTTCTGAGCTGAGTCGTGACAGCCAGTTGTGTGTTTTTTACATCTCTGTTTGGAGCTGCAATCTCAGTGAACCCTACGACCGCACAAGGGGGAAATTGATTAAGTTCAGACAGACTCCTCCCACTTATCCACCTTCCAGCCAATCATCTTTTAACATGTCACAGCAGCCCCACCCCATACTGGAAGATCAGCTCCAGTTGGAGGAGAGGCATGTCCTACACTGGCAACACCGCCTGCCTGCTAGCACCCAATAGACCATGTGGTGGCACTGGCTGACATATCCCACCATGCCACTTAGGAAATTCTTGTCAGGGTTGGCTAGTGACCTAACCCAGACTCGCACAATTGGCGATTCCAAATCGGGTGGGTGTGTAACAAAATTAATCAGTGGGGGACATTCCTTTAGCAAGAGGAATGTACATGGCCATTCATGTATGTTTTATATACAGTGAAACAAAAGCTTTTTTAAATTAAGTTAAAATCAGTTATGGCTAAGACAATTTGTGTTTTGTTTTCAGATCAGATCCGCAATGGGTTTATACCATTGAGGGTGATCAGGAGGAATGACATGTCTCAACACACTTCCATCTCTGGGAAAATCAACACGCCCTGGAAGACTGAGGTTTTAGAGGGAATTATCCAGGTAAATGTTTTAAACTGCATAATAGCATAACAACGAAGTGTCTTATGATCTTCAAGAAACAGATGGATGAGATTCTCCAGTCAAGACAAGAGTCACTTCTTCATGCAGAGGGTTGTGGATATATGGAATAAGCTACCATTTCATGAAAAATTCATCTCTGCAGCCATAAATAAGTATGGAATGAGCCATTGAGCTACGTTTTCAAAGCCCTGGTGTCTTTCAAGAAATGGCCTCGATAAGAACATTGTAACAGTTAACAAGAGGAGGCCCTTTGGCCGGTCTAGAATTTAATTGATCCAAGGACCTTGTGTCAGTGACGCACAGCAGGCCCACGGTTTGTGTCCTTTCCATGCTGTTTCCCTGCAGAACTGCTGTATGGTGAGCCTGACCCTTCTGGACGAAGCGCAGAACCCGTTCTGGTGTGTCAGCACCCCGGTCTCCCTGCAGCTGTCCAGCCAGGAGTCGGTGTCGTATGACTACATGGGGGAGAACTATGTTGTCAGTCATGGGGACGCGGACGGCAGGGTCCTGATGGAGCTGGTGTGGCTGGAGGAGCAGGGCCAGTTCTTCCTGGTGCACCTGGTGGTTTCCATGGCCACCGAGAAGGTCAACAAGCACTTTGGAAGAGAGTACTGACTGACGCCGGAGACAGGAATCCGATGATGCCGCTGAGGCAAAAGAGAATCAAAACCCGCGAAGGGCGCTCTTCCGGATCGGAGTTGAGGCGAGCGAGGATCGTGGCATACCTTCGTTTCAGTCAGGAGTGGGTGTAAACCTTTTTGTTGTTGTTTCAGTTTCTCGAAATTTGAGTTCTCCAATTCCTTTGCTTTCAGTTCAGGACACAAAGGCATCGAGCCGGGGGGGGGGAGGAGAAATAGATCGGTCTGAAAATGTTAATGGCAATAAAGCCGATCTTCTCGTGTCGAATTTCACCGTTTTTTGGCAGGACTGACGTCGCATCAGTTGCTAGACTTCACATAGGAACCGTAATGCCCACAAAAAACTATATTTGACATGTAAGGAGAAATAAAAATAGGAATGTTCCCAAAGTAAGTGTGTTTTGGAAAACTCCTTAAGTTTTGCAAAAGGTACTCATAGGTGTCAAATATGATCCTGTCTTTGGAAAGGCTTTCGAAAAATCCTTACATATGTACTGTACACTTTGTATTGTGTCTGTGTATCTTTAGAGGCTGTGTCAAGAATCTTTAAAAGCTACCAAACACTGAGTATTCACAATGTGTTTAGGTCACTTTTTTGCCCTACCAAAGCTTAAAGTACCCGAAGAGGTGAAGGAAAAGGAAGGAGAAGGAAAGAGGGTCAGGGGACTCAGGATTTTGGAGAAAAAAAAGGGAAGCAGAGCCATTGGATGAGATACAGGAAGGGGGAGAAGATGGGGAGAGCTTATGAGGATTGTCAGTGGACTGAGTGGCTGATTGAAAATAAGAACATTTGTCAGGTGCGAGAGCTGAAGAGCAGGAGGAGCGCTGGAGATGCTAGGCAGCAGGCAATTTAGATCTGCGTTTCTTTTTAGCCAGGCACAGCTGGATTCTGGCACAGCAGAGCTTGGGGGAGATCCAGGGAATACGCTGTGTAATATAGGGAAAAGGGTCATTTTAATTAAAAAAGTTTTAGCAGATTATACGTAAGTTTTGTTTAATGAAACTAAACAGTCCCAACATATCCTACAGTGAACAAAATTATTATAATTATGTGATCAAGCTTTACAGCCATTTTTACAATGTAGTGGTTTAGGTAATCACCACTGCAAACTGCTAAATATTCATGTAATTGCTGTCGCAATAAGATGCTAAAAGTGTATTTCTTGGTTATTAAGATTCCATAATGCAAAAGGTAATTTTCACATTGGCAAGACTCCAAATTGATACTTCGCTCAGAAATCCTTCTTGTGTTATGAATTTAATAAGATTGTAATCCTGAGTGGTTCTGACAGAAAAACAGTGCATAATGTTCATCGTGATGATGGCCTCATGCTGCTCAGACATTAATTTAACAAACACCCCCCAATTCTATGCCTTTATCCAGCTACAGACACGTATTTCCAGAAAAGGTGAATTTCTGGTGGTGAAATGATATAGAGATCACCCACAGTCTATAGTATCTCGTATTGTTGGCCACCAGGTCTACACAACTTTAAGTGAAACATTACTTTTTATTCTTAGTATATGTGTTAAAGCTTTTTATGTTGTTTCTATTAGCAGAATTTCTAGAATTTGTGGCAAAAGGATTCTAAAAGATCCTTGTAGTGCATACTTGCTTATTATTAGTGCATAACATTCAAAGATATGTATGAAAAATAATATAGATGATTTATAACATAATAAAACCAGTGCTTTAGAGACCTTGTTCACTGGTTCACAACAACAAACAGATTTCTAGTCTAGTTGTTAACAATGGAAAAACTCCAAGCTACTTATGTCTAAGGCAAGAAGTTATTTTGAGGCCAAATGTTTTCTATAAAAAGACAGCAAAACCAATCTGAATTTCACTGTCTTTAGAAGGTTAAGAAATGTCCATATGTACTTACAATTGTACTGTTTGGGTACAAGGAACACACATTTTCAACTTCTTCTGCTTGTCAAATAATCAATTACACAGGTATCCCTAACCAATTAGGCAAATAAGTAGAGCTTATTAGCCCTTGGAAATGTCACTTCGGGTATCTCTTTCAGCAGTTAATATTTTAACACCCATGGTGTTTTTAGGGTAAAAATTGTAAAAGGTTTTCCCTTTAGTGTCCTAGGCTGTGTTTTCTACGCAATCTGAGGAAAGGGCTGCTAAATAAGGTAAGGGAAGTCTGTTCAGCAGTTCATTTCACATCATGCATCGATAACAACAGCAGGAGCACAAGATGCAACTTGGAATATTTACAAATTCAAAAAGGTTGCTAGGAAACCACATTCACCGGCCCAACAAGCAGATTTCAGAGGCAGCAATGAAATCATCAAAAAGTACAAGAATATTACTGCATAATTTTTTTCTTCTCCAGACTGTGAATATTAAAAAATTACATTCTATGTATGAAAATAAAGGGAAAAAAAAGCTATTTTAAAAGGATATTAAAAGATTTCTTCATAAAAGTAAAACAGCATGATCTTCTTTACCTTTGTCCATGTACTCATGTAACCTTTGCGTGCTCACTGACTGACTTTGTCATGTTTCTGATTTGTTTTTATGAAAAGAATAACCTCACAAGAATGTGTCAGGCCACAGTTAGATTTATATACCCCCAGGGAGGATGGAACCTTAATCTAGCCATCTTCATTGCACCTGTGTTATGTTTCGTTATTAGCATTCCTCAGTATGCTATTAAATGCAGTTCATAAAAATACAAAATTATGTGTATATTTGTGGCTGTTTATTTCAACACAGATTTTCCTACATAATTACAGGGCCCTCCAGACTGATGGCAGATATGAATATGACAGAAAGAATGTAAAAACATTGAAAAGAATTGAATGAACTGGCTTCGTCACTCTGTTCTCCCCACTGAGAGCTGGTGTGTGGGGAGTGTTCTGGCGCACTGTGGCTGCTGTCACATCATCCAGGTGGGGCTGCACACTGGTGGTGGTGGAGGGGATCCCCATTACCTGTAAAGCACTTTGAGTGGAGTG